TCGGTGCTCCCAGCATTACAGTCCCAGAGGTCTGCTCACACATTAGGCTTAACGCTATTGCCAGATTAGGGTCAGGAAGGAATTTTCCTGGATTGATAGAAAAATTGTGGTTGCATTTTTTGTGTGGTTTTGGGTTTGTGTTTTTTTTTTGCTTTGGGGTTTTTTTTTGCACTTCAAGTTCACGGCTATTTTTTAGATCCTGTGTCATTTTTTTTCCACAAGTTCTCTGCCATCGCCAGGCTGCAGACCTGACGGTCCCTTAATCTCCCCTGCTTACTTCCTGTGGCAAGTTACAGCTGCAGCTTTTTTGCTAAGAGGAGTCAGGAAGCATTTGCAGTGCCCGGTTTGTGGGTGGGTGGAGCAGGTGTTGAGTTTAGAGGCACCGGCAGAACATTCATTGCATCTTTACTCACAACTGCAGGACACTTGACCATGGGGTGACCCTGGAGGACTGCCCCAATGTGAACACAAGTACACGCGATGACTGCAAAAGCAGCTGTAAGAGGGAACATGGGAATTAACCCAGGGTCTCAGCTGTACAAGCACAGATTTAAAGCACACATAACCACTGGCTGGCCTCCAGGGCTTGCTTGCAGGCAGGCGGGGATTTGGGATGAGGGATGTGTAAGAGAGCAGAGGTGTGAGAGTGAGGGAGCCCCAGACCAGCAGGCTCTGCGTGCCACAGGGGGATGAGCGTCTCTCCCAGCTCTCAGGGGCTCCTCTGAGCCCACGTCTCCAGTGATCCCAGCACCAAACTCCCACAGCCCCTCTCTGCAGGTACACTGAAACTAGGTATCCCTGCAAGGCTCCCAGTGCAGGGACCCCGGGCTGGGGAGGCACAGCCACAACACAGCAGCAGCCTCTGCTTTGGGTCAGGACCTCTGAGCTCTTGGATGCGTGGAATCAGCCTGAATCTCAAGGGCTGGTGGTCCCAAGGAAGGGAATGGCTGCAAACGGCAAGAAGCATTGCATAGACAGATTTGTGCCCAGCACCTCTCCTCACGGGGGTCCCCATCAGCTTTCAGAATGAGCACGCTGAACATCTTAAGTTGGATCTTAAGCGTGAACATCCCAAGTGTGGAAAAGCACACCCACCTCATGACAATGTGGGTGATCAGCACCTGGCAGCATCCAGCCCCAAGGTCCCAGAATAACCTTTCCTGAGGATAAGTGGCTCTGCTGTTGCTGGGGACAAGGGCTGTGCAGCCTCCGGCCCCGGGCAGAGGTGTGCAAGGAGTGCTGCTGTCAGACTCTCCGGGTGGCCTTCTGCCTTTTGCACTTGGGGTCCAAACCAGCTTATGCATGGAGCACAGGCCCCTCATCTTCCAGGTTTTACCCACGATGAAGGACCACTCTGGATGCCCTTCTGGCTGCTTGCTAGCTTGGAGATCACGTTCAGAACATATTAATGCAAGAGGGAATGAGAAAGGAAAGGGAAGAGGAAGGTGTGAAATCAGCATCAGTCCCGTGGGAGTTTGTTCCAGAAGAAGGGTGCAGACGGCAGGACCTGGTGCAGGGAGGGTCAGGGACAACCACGAGAGAGCGGAGTCTGCAGCAGGAACAGAAGGGGAAAGGTTGAGAGTGCATTGAAGAGAAATAGAGTGAAAACCCCAGCTCCGCTTCGTGACTTCTCAGAAAACACCCCCCGTGTAGTCCCCAGCCATGGGCTGCTGCGGCTCGGGGCAGAGCCACTCACGCAGGCAGCGAAGGACGCTGAAGGATGCTGCAACTTGCAGAAGGAAGGTTGGCTGTCCTATGTGCACCGTGTGCCTTGGGTGAAGCAGATTTGCTTTCAAGAGACTCCCTCCAGGAGCTGGGGTCCCTGCAAAACCCCAGCTCTGCCTCTCACCTCTGGCATGCCTCTGGCAGGGGAAACCCCCACGGCCACCACTGATGCCAGCAGGGCAAAGGCTGTGCATGAGCTGCACCCCAGCCTCTTCCAAAGGGCACCTGCGAGCTGAGGGGGACTACTCTGGGCCAGCGATCCGGCCACCAGCAGGACTTACCTATTGGTGTGTGCAGAGGAGAGCCAAGGCATAGCTCTGCCTTGGGAGCTCCGGGTCCAAACTCCCAAACTGGACTGTCCGCAGCTCAGCAGGGTGGTCTGGCTGGCACGGGGGAGGCACACAGAGCCGCCAGCCGTCGAGCCAGGGGCCGTCCATGCACGCAACAATTCCAACAAGAGCCAAAGGCAGGCACGTCCCACCTGCATTAGAGCTCAGGGGATGCATCCATGCTGCCCTGCTACCACGACAGCTATGCTCAGCTCTGCAGACATGCCTGCTGGCTGCAGGGCTGTGCGAGGGATGTGCTCCAAGTGCTGCTCCTCACCGCTGTCCCCTGATCCTCTCCAGACAGCTCCCGCCAGCACCCACACTTCCAAAGAGCTGGCTGTGCACCGCTTCCCGCTCTCCTGCCTCCTCTTTGCAACGGCAGCAGGAAAACACCTTTCTGCAACTCTCACACCCTCCACAACAGACCTTAAATCAATAACCCCAGAACACAGGGCCAGGTTATTGCTAACGGAAACCATTAAACTGTAACACGGGGGTCTAAAGCCAGCCTCTAACACTTAAAAGATTTATAGGGCACAACAGCAGGGTGTTAATTCTTTTGGCAACACAAACGCTTTCACACCCCCTGCCTTTCCTCACCCGCAGGAACGAGGAGAGGGGACCATGTGCGGCCCAGCCCCAGGAACGCAAGGACACAGCCATGTTTGCGCTGTGGCCAGTGGCACACACATTTGGGGTGACGCTGCGCTCACAGGGCTGCCCAAACGCACACACCTCAGGTCCATGGGGTAGCACATCCCCAGGGGCCCCAGGGGTTATTCTGCCAGGGGACGTCCCCCACACCCAGCTCCAGCTTCCCCGTGACATTCCCAGCTCCCGCCTGCCTCCACAGCTGCAGCAGAGGTTCAAGGAAAGGCTGTGAAGAAAGTTTGAGACCAGCTAAAGCAGTTGGAGAAGGCAACCAAGATTTCGGGCTCACGAGCCTTTCTTCAGACCTGAACCAGCCTACAGCTCGCGGGTGCTTTTGCCGCTGGTTGAACAGGCGCTCTTCCCTGCAACACTCTTGCTTGGATCCACACGCCCCCAGCGCTGCTGTGGCAGCTCAGAGACGGGGGAGACACTTGTCAGTGCCGCGATCAGCCCAGCTGCCCTAGGCAGGAGAGGGGCTGCATGTGTGCTACAGCTAAAGGGGTTTGCACGGCGTCCCGGAAAGGGCCACTCGCATCCTCCTGCTGAGTCCCTGCTGGGCACTGGCTTTCACCCCCTCCTGCCAAGCCAACATCTCTGGGAAGAGCTGCATTACTGATTAACAGCCCCCTGCCTGCCTCCCCCCACCATCCCACTCACACCTTTGCCTGCAGCCACCTCCTTGGACCCTCCTTTGTGCAAAGTCCAGGGCCAGGCAGGAAAGGACAGGGTGGGAGTTCGCCCCGGGGCTCACCCCGCTGGCAGCCTCACCGCACCCCACATACCTGTGGTATTGTGGGGGCCTCTCTGGGCTGAGCTACAGAGCAGCACGAGTCACCCAGCGTGCAGGCAGGAGCATTCCTCTCCATCCAGGAGAGCAGAGAGGGCACAAGTGGGCTCCAGCCACTGTGCTAATAGTGGACCATAAGAGTGCTGCAGCACACCCCAGGCACACCCCCAAAGGGCCTCAGAGGCCTGAGCATGATCCGGGCAGCATCAGCTTGGCTGAACTCCTGGCTCTGTGTCACGCATGCTGGACACCCCACCATGGGTTTATTGCTGCTATTCCCCTCCCTGCTCTCCTACCAGAGGAGTGGGTGCTGCCTCCATCAAGCAAGGGGTCTGGGGGGGGACTTTGACCAGCCCCCTCCTACCCCAGGCCCTATGAGGAGCCCTGGGGAGGTCCATCCCCTGCCTGTCCCTTCCCTCCACGCTCCCCCAGCTCTGCAGAACCCAGCCAGGTGACTGCGGGACCCCCCACCCCAGGGTGTGCTGAGAGGGTGCCCAACCAGGCACCACTGCACCCTGCCCAAGCCTGTCCCAGTCCCGAAGCTGGGGTGCTCGATGCTACCTCAGGGTTCCCAGCCAGCACTGCCAGCTTAGCCCCACTCCAGCATTGGGGATCCCTGGGCTTGTCCCAGCCCAGGAGCAGCCTGCAGCAGGGGATTTCTCTGCCTGCGAGCACAAAAGTGGGGTGCAGGGCCCCGGCACTGCTGGCTCAGGGAGAGGTGCAGGCAGCAGGACCAAGCACGTTCCCTTGGGCGCTCCCTGAGCTCGCCCTCCCCCCCCACGAGCCACAATGCATGGGAGGGCCTGGACAGGCATCCTGCATCCCCTCCCTGTCACTGTCCATCCTTCCTCTGCCACACACCACCCCGCTGTGCTCTGCCCGCTGCGGATGCCTGGAACCTCTTTGCAGACACACCAACACTTCTCCCTTGGGGGACGAGATGAGATGTCAGAGATCCCGCTCTTTCTGTCTGGCTGGCTGGAGAAAAACCAGCAGGCTCAAGGGGGACAGGCAGACGCCATGGTCGCGCACACTGCCCTCAGAGCAGGCAGACCCCTGCCTGTGCTCTGCCAGGGGCTAAAGCCCCCTGCACTCCAGCCCGCAGTGGGGAGTGATGGTGGAGGAGGATCTCGCACTGCCCCTCCGTGGCCACCACGGAAGGTGCAGGTGGCCCCAAAACCCAGCCGGGTGCCTCGGGGCTGGGGTGCCGGCTCCTCACTCCAGCAGAGCCCAAGAAACAGTCAGAGGGGTCTGCACTGCCTGTCCCCAAAGAAGCGTTCACCCTGTGCCAGGCCATCTGAGGGCTGCCACAGACCCCTCAGAGCAGCTCGGTAACCCCTGTCCTGCCCTACTTTCCCCAGACACCCCACTGCTGCACCCAGACCCCAACCTGTGCTACCTCTCATGGGGCCAGACCCTAGCACAGAGCCCCTGGGGTCCTGAGGGGGCACAGCCCAAGCCCACGCCTGGGAATGGCCCACACGAAGGAGGAGACGAGGCAGTGCTGCTGTTTGGGCATCCACATTTATTACATGGCTGGGGCAAGCCTGGGGCTGCCGCTCACCTGGGCCCCTCCGGTCAAAGGCAAATGACCCATCCTCCTTAAATATTGGTTATAAAACAAATTTCTTTTTTTCCTTTTTCTTTTTCTTAAAAACCCCATCTCTCTCTCTCCATACTTTTTTTGTCTTTTGTATTTGAGTATAAAAGTGGGGGCGGGCGCTCCGCCTTGCCTGCCGCTACCTCCGCAGGCTGCGCTGTGCCTGCCGCAGCAGCGTGTCGAAGTCCAGAGAGTCAAACTTGCTCTTGACGGGGGCTGGGTCGAAATCCTCCCGGTTTGAGTCTGGAAGACACGGGGAGAGGCTGCCTTGAGCCATGGGGACACTGGCACAGTTCCGGCCATCCCCACAGCAACTCCTTCCCATCTCGCTTCACGCGCCAACCTCTAGACCCAGAACTGGGCTGATGGAGGACCGGACCTGGCCTCCATCACAGCACCGGAGGGACGGGGAGCCCCCATCCAACCTCCCCTCGGGGCAGGACTACCCCTGGACGTGGCCTTGCCCAGCCAAGCCTCACTGACCCCAAGGATGGGGACCCCTACACCGCTGGGAAGGAGAGAGGACCCAGGGTGCCACCCCCCAACTTGGAGGCTGCGCAACTCACCCAAGTCAGCATAGTTCCTCCTGCAGAACTGCCGGCGGCCGCCGAAGCACAGGTCGAAGGGCTGCTCGTCCGGGCGCCGCAGCTTGTGCCCGCTCTCGATGGCGGCAAAGGCTTCCTCGGCATAGCGGTAGGTGACAAAGCCATAGTTGTCCCTGGAGTCGGAGAAGGAAGGAGATCAGCAGCAATGCAGCATGTTTGTCCCCGCTTGGTCTGCACCGTCCCCTTGAAGAATGGGAGAAGGGCCAAGAGGAGCCATCCCTGGGAAGGGGCTGCCCCACGCCCCCGCAGCTCTTACCCCTCAGAGCGGAAGTGCAGGGTGCACTCCTCGATGTCCCCAAACACAGAGAAGCGGTGCCGCAGCTCCGACCGTGTCATCCTGCTGGGGATCTTGCCAATAAACACAACTCGACGCTCCTCCTGTAGGCAGGGATGCACCATCCCGTGAGATGGGAATGGGGGCACTCGGTGCCTCTGAGCCCTCCCGGTAAGCAGGACCTCTCGCACAGAGCGCCCTCCCTGCATCGCCACCCATGACACCATGCCCTGGCCAGAGCCTCCCAGCAATGCTGCCTGCCAGGCTGCGACCTCGCAGCTTTCTGAAGTGATGGAGGGGCTGGGGACCCCCAAATCTCCAGCCCCAGCTTCCCAGCCCTCCAGCACTCACTATTGCACGTTCCTTCTGGAGGATCCTCTGCCTTTGGTAGCGGTCCTGTGCATCGTAACTGTATCTGGCAGGGCAGAAACCGGACACATGAGCTACAGGGTCATGGGAGTGCCAGAAGAGAGTGATGCTGGACACAAGGGAGATACTAAAAGAGTAGGTCCACCCCTGCCTGGGACACAGGAGGCCGGGAGATGGGTTGGGGGGAGCTCACACCCATGCAGGGTGGCCACGCTCACCTTCTCCGCCTGTTACTCCTCCTGCGGGGCGAGGGGGAGCGGGACTGGCTGCGGGACGTGGACCTGGATGAGTAGGAGGATGTTGATGATGAGGATGAGGACCTGTCCCGGGACCTGCCACACGACCCACAGCTGGAGCGGGAGGAGGAGCTGTGGGAACATCTTGAGCGGTACCTAGGGGAAGGAGAGACACAGCTCGGTGCCAAGCCCTCCGCAAACCCAGCACCACAAGGCTCCGGAGAAGAAAAAGACCTCCATCCTCTCCAAGGTACCCAACACCCCACTCAGACAGGACCCATCCCCAGGGTGAGCTGAGCTATGGAAACCTCCGCCCAAGTTTGCCAGGGCAGTAACGATGCTACAGAGATGTTGCTCCACTTGACTCCAAACATCACAGCAAAAAGGGAACAGGTTCATAACAGGCACAGCCTCCAAAGAGCAAGAAATAGTCATGGGGGAACCATGCAGCACATGGCTGCGGCCGGGCAAGGGCCCAGGAGGGGCCGGGGCTGCCGTGCCGAGCCCCACACCGTGCACAGGATGACACTGGAGCCATCACATCGGCGTTGCACTCAACAGCCATGCGAATGGAGACCACACGTGCCTCCGACCACACTGAGGGCTGTGGCATGCACCGGGACAGGGCTGGGCTTCTGTGCCCACAGCCTCCTGCCTACAAGAGCTTCTCTGGCAGGTCCAGGCAAAGCTTAAGGGCAGCAGGACTGAAACCCCTCTGGGATCAAGCTGTGCTGCCTCCAGCCAGCAACAGCGTCCCTCTCTGAACATGCTGCCCACGGGTGGTTCCCGCCATAGGCAAACCCAGGCCGCGAGTGGGGCGTGCTGCCTGGTACTGCCACATAATTCTCCTGGAGGACAGCGTGTCAGGACGGCACAGTCCGTGGGGACATTTCCCAGCACAGAGCCAGCTGCATTTGCTGGAAAGCCAAGCCAGACAGGGCCAGTCCCTGAGCTGCACATCCCTGGGACACGGCACCACATTCACGTCCTCTCCAACTCCAGCCTCCACACCTATTGGCCACCAATGGAGGGGCCTTGATTGGACAAGCCCTTCATGCCCAGTGACCTGGGATGTCTGCAAAACTGGCTGAACGCCCAGGGAAGGGCAGATGAGGGATCGCTTGCCAGCTCCAGTGCCTCCCACCCCAGCTGGGACAGGCTGTGCATCACTCAGATGCACAAGGACTCCAAAAGAAATGCCTCCCGCAGAGATCAAGCCGCCCCACTTTTCTACGCAGCCACGTCCACAAGGAGCACAGGGAACCCCTAAGGCAGCCAAGCCAGACAGGTTTTTCTCTGCTTGCCTGAAGCAGCCCCCTGCTGCCATTGTGGCTCCTCTCATTTCTACACCTAAGGCTGTAACAGCTCCACAGCACAAACACCAACACCTGCCTTAATAACCCAGCAAACGCATCCAAAAGCCATGGTGCAGCCAAGGACTCGTACCACAGTGCTCCAGGAGGGGTAAGGAAGCCTGGCTCAGAGGTGGCTTTGCAGGAACACGTGCCTAGACATGGGGTTCAGCCAGACGCCCACTGCCCTGGCAGGGTGTGACAGCAGCTCCCCCAGTCTCTACTGCTCACAGCAAGCCAGGCACCCCTTAAGGGGGGCCACAAGGACAAAAAGGTCAGATACGACCATCAGGTAGATCCATAAAGAGGTGTCTGGGCACCCTCGCAAAATACCGGCCGCCAGGCAATTGGCCAAAGAGCAAGCAGACCTACACTCCACCGCTTACCTTCGCCACCGCTTGGGCGGTGGGGAGAACGACCGTGACCGGGATCGGGAGGATGAGGATGAAGATGAAGATGAGGACTCGCTAGCTCCATCCGAACTGGAGCTGAAGGAGCGGCTGGGACGGCTCCTGCCAGCCCTCCAGCTGCCAGCAGAGGGGCTGGGCGAGTCCCGGGGTCTCCGGTAGCAGCGCAGGGACCTCTTGGCAGCAGCATGGCTGGGCTGGGCACTGGGAGTCCGCATCTCCTGGTCCCGGCAGGGGGATGCGGCTGGAGACAGGAGCACCGAGGTGGGGGGGCTGCTGCACCCGGCGGTGACCTTGTTGGGGACGCTAGTCCGATAATCCAGGGGGGCTAGGCAGGCCGTCCCCAGGGGCTCCTGGCTGGGCCCCACAGTGGTGGTGGGGGCTGGCGGGGTGGGCTTGGGTTGGTCCAGCGTCCGTTTGGTTAAGGAGGAGATGGGTTTGATAGTGATGTCCCGGTGGTGTTTGACGTTCCAGCGGGAGCCGCCCTCGGTGGGGGGCTGTGTGCCGGGGCTGCTGTTGCTCTCCAGCCGCGCCGCACCTGGGATGCAG